GTTATCGCTCACATGAAAAGAAAGGAGAAATGTGTCCGTAAAGTCAAAGATCTAATTGATTATTATTATGCGCTGTTAACAGAGATCTGCTGCTACAGACCCTTCTGAGTGGAGATGTTGTGAAATTGCTGAAGTTGTCTTTCATCACAGCCCATCCCATATCCTCCCAAGACCTCAGACAGCAAGCAGGTATTCCTCTGTTTCCTTCTGTCTTCCTCCTGCTGGGGGGTGGGAGTGGGGTGAGCAGGACTGACCCAGCCCACTGGACACTGGCTCCTGACCACACCCACCCAGAGAGGAGCAGGACACTCACATGGGGGTCCACCTTGTCGGAGGCCAGCTTGTGCAGCTCCAGCAGGGCCTGGTTGACCTTCTTCTCCAGCTCCAGGGCAGCCTGCATGGCCTCCAGGCCACTGCCCCACTCGTCAGGGCCTGGCCGCAGTCCCGCTGGGATCAGAGAGGAGCTCAAAGTCCTCCAGAGGCCAGCTTGATCGAGAGTCTCGTCTCCCCGACCTGCGCTGGAGAGGAGAGGGGTGTGTCTGTCCCCAGCCTGGCTGGACACCCCCGATACAGAGGCAGGGCCAGTGGCGCCCTGAACAACTGCACTGGAGTGATAAAAATATCACTGCACTGAAACGGGATCTGAAACGGGACCTGACACGCAGGGTCAGCGTCACTCCCTGGATCAGTCAGGAATCTTGCACTCGATGAGCCTGATGTCACATGGCTGAGATCCGACAGCCAGCTGTACTCTTCCTCTGTGCCCGAAGGTTTTGTGTGAGCTTCACGTGGGCTCTCGTCCTTCTCACAGGGCTCTCTCTGCGCTCGGATCAGACCTTCACAAACCGAAGGGAGGTCCGCAGTGCTGCTCGGACCGGTACAGAGCTTAAGGGGAGCTCGGGCCCTAACCCCACCCCTGGTGCTCATCAAGCCCTACCCCGAGGGCAAGGAATGAGATGCTCTGGGAATGATCAAGCTACTGTACCCCAGCTGCTCCAGTCCACACAGCTGTACAAGTGTTGCTGGGGTGGGAGGGACATAGCAACTGGGACGTCCTGTCCAGAGGGGGGAATCCGGTGCTCTCTGACCGTTTCACACTCAAGCTGTTGTGCGTGGCTCATATCCATCTATCTGCCCCCGTTGTTCATTCAACTGAACTGATTTCTCAATGAATTATCTGTGTAACATTGTATTAACCTGCTTCTCTTGCATTTGCAGTATGTATAGAAAATCAAGGAAGAGATGAATTAATTAAGAACTAAGAGCCCATCGAGTGCTCCAATATGCCTCATTCAAATTTGCATCAGCTCACAGTCAGCCACAGAATCACGACCGGAGTCGCTGGGCTGAACCAAGGCTGACAGGCTCAGGCACTCAGGCACTCAACTGCGTTTTTCAGAGTGAAACAAGCTGAAAAATCATTGTCCTGCAGGTCAAGGGGCTGCTGTGAGTTCACAGAAGAGAAAGTAGCTTCTGCTTTTCTACAGTGTTCCCCCACCGAAGCATCTTAATTTCTACCTGAACCTTTTTCCTTCTTTCAGGGTTAAGGCTCAAAGAAATGAAGGAACAAAGGCATCATTTATCTGTGGAGGCAACTAAATCTTATTACGAGGCTGGACTCTCCAGACTTGTGAAAGAATATTGTACTCGCTTCCAGATCATCAACAAGGACCAGTGCGACCATCTCTTACAGTGGGTGAAAGCAGGGACGTATTTGGATAAAAATACTGAAGAGTATAAAGAAATACTGGACCTTCTTAAAAAATGAGAAATA